GGCTGCAACTTGACAGCACTGTCCACTACAACGTGATTTATTATTGCAATTTCTTGCTTTTGAACTGCTGAGGAGCTGGGGCCAGAGACGGGAGAGAGTGAGAAATGGGCGGCATTAATACAAAGCACCGCTGGCAAAATGTGTAGTTGTCATGATTTTGCTTCAGAACGTGTAAAGGAGGAAGCGAAATGCCTCCCCCCTCCCAGCCCAGCCCAGCCCAATCACCTTTACCTGCAGTTGCAGACTGCCGGCCAGGTGGACACATCAGGATAGATAAATCACTACCTGGGGCCAGAGACCAGGGACCTCACTCCGTCACGCGGCACTCAGGTCTCGAACTGCCGAACTACAGACCTTCCGGTCTGCAGCTCAGCGCCTTCACCTCTGAGCCACCGCGGCCCCTTGTTTAGTTCTACCTACAGGCAAATTACTTGCACCGCTGCCAGAGTCAGATACGAGCTGAAGACAAACAGAGTTCTCTCGCCACGCAGGGCTCTTTTTGTAGCAGGAACTCCTTTACATATTACGCCACACACCCCTAATGTAGACAATCCTCCAAGAGCTTACAGAGCTTTTCTTACAGGAGCTACTGTAAGCTCTTGGAGGATTGGCTACATTAGGGGTGTGTCGCTTAATATGCAAAGGAGTACCTGCTACAAAAAGAGCCCTGCGGCAGTCACACGCCCCAGGACTTTCTGATAACCCCAAATGCCCCCAGCCCCCTCCAGAACAGAGCGCTAAACGCCTCCCCGCCCCCATGTCTCCGCCCGGTACCTTCTTCAGCTTGTCATTCTCCTCCATGTACTTCTTGGCAGCATCGCTGGCTCCTTCCGCCTGCTTCTTGAAGGCCTCGTTGGAGGCCAGGGTGGTGGCGTGCTGGGAGATCAGGGTGATCAGGCGTCTCAGCAGGCTGGGGTGGGGAGGGGGGGAAAGGATGGAGAGCGTCAGTACCAACTTTTGGAAAGCGGCTATGCTAGGGCAAAAACCACTGTTTACCAGCGTCTCAGAGATATTGAGCTACAAACATCTTATGCCGCGCTTCCGCCTCTTTACAAATCTCTGAAATCCAAAACGTTAATGTCTGCTCCTTTATACCTAGCTAATATTTCCAACCCAAATCATAGATGGGCCTTTTCCAGAGCCAGATTTGACACTTTTCCATCTGCAGTTCTTTCCGGAAGATTTCAACGTATCCCCAGACATTTGAGATTTTGCTCATGCCCTTCCGAGTCAATAGAGACCCTCCCCCATATATTATTTCATTGCTCCCACTATGCAGAAGAAAGAGCCCTTTTAATTACGCCTTCATTAAGGTCATTTAGGTTTCAAGGACAATTAGTAACCCAGTCCAAGGAACTTTTGCTGAAACACCTACAGTACTGGAGGATAAATCCACGGTTATTTCAAGGAATGTTGCTAAATTTCTTTTTATTGCAATTATAAAGCGTAAGCACCTCCTTAATACTCCTTGAGATGTTTTTTCTCTGTAATGCCTTACGACAATCTGGAGACTGTTTTTGATTCTGTATGCTGTTTGATGGGTCTTTGACCGAAATAAACTGATTGATTGATTGATGGAGAGCGTCAAACCATGTCAGAGTTAACAGCCAGGGCTAGAAACGAGCATATAAAAGCCTAGACCAGGGGTCCCCAACATGGCGCCCCGCCAAGTCAAAAGTGGGTGGGTCCAGATGGGGCCTTTGCCAAACAAGGCTTCTAACAGGCCGCTGGAGATCTGAATGGCTGTGCCAATTCTTAAGAATGTTGCTTTGGCAGCAGCTGCCACTACAACTCAAGGATCTTCACTGTGTGGCTGAATGTGAGCTGAGGCAGCCATTTTTTGTGGCTGGCTCCCCCCCCTGTGGGAGCCATTTTGTGACTGGGTCTACTGCAACGTGCCAGCACAAACTCAAAAAGGTTGGGGGGCCCTGACCTAGACCTCCAAAAAATCTCAGGCCTATACAGACAAACTGCCACCTCGAGTCAGGATTCACCTTTGGGCCCCAAAGCGAGGAGTGAGATCATTCAGAGGGGAGGCCTGGATTGTGACCAGTGTTCCCTCTAAGATGAGTTAGAGTGAGCTGGCTCACAGTTTTTTAGCCTCTGGTTCATGGATTTCTGTCTTCGCTCGGGAAGGAGGGCTCCGGAGCAAACTGATTCATGCAGCAGCCAAATCGCTCGCTCACAACTTTAATGCCAGGAGCTTGCAAAGTAGAATTTTTGCTCACCAGACTCCACAGCTTAGAGGGGGCACTGATTGTGACCAGGGCTATTTTTGGGCAGGAACGCACAGGAACGGAGTTCCGACTGGCTCCCAAGGTGGCCACGCCCAGCAGGAACTTATTAGCATAATAGGCCACACCCAACAGCAGGAACTCATTAGGGTTGGCTACATTAGGGGTGTGTGGCCTAACATGCAAAGGAGTCCCTGCAACAAAAAAAGGCCCTGGGTTTTGACAACAAACAAGGTAAACAGAATAAGAAGCAAAAGGTGGGTGTGGCTGGATGACCACACTTCTGGTAACATGGGGGTGCGGCCTAATATGCCAATGAGTTGTGCTGTCAGGGGTGTGGCCTAATATGCTAATGAGTTTCTGCTGTTGGGTGTGGCCTATTATGCTAATGAGTTCCTGCTGGGCTTTTTCTACAAAAAAGCCCTGATTGTGACCACTCCAAAGCAAGTCTGCGAGATCTTAGGATGGAAACGAGAATAGCTCTGTCGGCAAAGCCGTATCAGCAGGTTTGCCCCAGTGAGCTAAAGCGCCATTCCCTGGCACACTTCTAAGATTTGGGGGGAATGGGATGGGGGCAGGAGGCACAGGGCAGAAAGACTGCACCACCTTCCTAATGTGAATCTGGTTTCAATATGCCCAGGGGCATTTTTCCCCTGCAAAGAGAAAGATGAAATACAGAGAGCTATTCACCAAATTCCCAGCATCAGGTGTGTCTGAGCCCCGAGTTACCCAACCCGAAAGCCGCTACAAACAGCTGTCTTTAGAGGAAGCCAGCTGTCGTTTCCAGTTTGGTGTCGTGGTTAAGTGCGCCGACTCTAATCTGGGGGAACCGGGTTTGATTCCCCACTCCTCCACTCGCAGCTGCTGGATGACCTCAGGCAAGCCATAGTTCTGGCAGAGCTGTCCTTGAAAGCGCAGTCCTCTCAGAGCTCTCTCAGCCCCACCTGCCTCACAGGCAATGCTCCCTCTAAGCTGTGGAGTCCTGTGAGCAAAATTCTACTTTGTGAGCTACCGGCATTAGAGTTGTGAGCAAGCGATTTGGCTACTGCATAAATTAGTTTGCTTTGGAGCCCTCCTTCCTGAGCGAAGACAAAAATGTGTGAGCCGGAGGCTAAAAAACTGTGAGCTATCTCACACTAACTCAGCTTAGAGGAACCACTGCTCACAGGGTGTCTGTTGTGGGGAGGGGGAGGGAAAGGAGGTTGTAAGCCGCTCGGAGACTCCGAGTGAAGGGCGGGGTGTAAATCCTATCTCTTCTTCTTCTTCGCGTTGGGGAACGCCGAGGGGGATATCTTGGCCAAAGCAAAGCGGCAACTCTGTGGTGCACCCCGGACCTGAACCCCGCCTCGTCTCCGCAGCGCAGCCTAGATCAGATCCACACTCTGCCCTTCAAGTTTGGCACTGCCCGTACACCAACATGCCACTGCAGTGAATCAATGCAGCATGCTCTCCCAGAACGGACAATAAAATAGCAGTTGCACTCAACAGGGCTCTGCTCCCCCCCCCCGCACCATTTCAGCCCCTCTCGCGCATCTTCTTTTTACAGGAATTCATTTACAGCGTGGTTCCAAAAGAGAGAACCGATCCTCTCCAGGCTTACAAACTGATGTGCGAGACACAATGCAGAGGTCGCTGCAAAAAGACACACCGCAAGCCAATTAATAAAAGGGCTGCTGGCGCACAGAGGGATCCGCGGCTTTAGTGAGCTTTTAAGCCACCGAAATTGGCTGGGGGGGGG